GGGGAATTGAAGGAGGAGGACTTAACCTAGATGCCTCAGAACCCTTGGCTGGCTTTGGACAACCCAGACCCAATCTAAACCCTTGGGTTATTCAAGCCACAGGCAAACTCTCTCCTGGCACATATAAAATCTTCTCAAGGTGACATTTCCTTCCTTTGAGTGTGAGGCACACATGGTTTCTTTCCTGTCACAAATGCTTTAAGTTTGTTCAGCAATGAGGATTTTCCTCAAGTGGAGCTTTTGGTTTTCTTGTTGTGCTTGTTTGTTTGTTTGGGAGATGTCATGACTAGACACTGATATGTGCAGTGTGTGGTAGATCATATTGGGTGGAGTTGGTTTTCGTTAGCTTGCTGTACAATTACAATCAGTCTTTGGCGATCGCCATGGTGCTTCTGCACAGAGCAAAGGCCATGTCTTTCCTTAGTTATCTTAGTGACCCCATGGAGTCGGAATGGCCTCAGGAGATGGACATTTCCAGGAAAACTGAGGGAGCTCAGGGAAAGGTGAACTGGCAGAAATCAGTTGCCACCTCCTTCCCACTGCCCAGGAGGCTCAGCCCAGCTGTGGAACTCTGGTGTGCAGGAAATCCCTAGTGTGCATCCCATTAAAGTGACTCACACAGCAGGGATCAAACCTGGGCACAAGAGGTGAGCTGCTTTGGTGTCCCTAAGCTCTGCATCTTGTTGGCGGTAAAACACACACTGCAGCGTTATTATCAGGCCACATTGCCCCCGTTAGATTTGATGCCTTTGCAGATCAATACTGTGGTGTAAAATGGGGAGCCAGTGGCTGGCACAGAGGTGCTGTGAAAGGGGGATTCAAAGCCCTCCCTGAGCATCCAGTTTCCAAGGTCCCTTAAAAGCCCAAGTTATCAGGTAAAACCACCCTGAGCACAAGGCAGTCTCATTACCACAAGGACAGGCAGCATGGCTGCTTTGGGTCCTAGAAGGAACAGTGGAGGAGGCTTTGAATTCTGACTTCAACATGCATGGACCTGTCACTTGTCAGTTTTGTAAGCATTTCAAACTTGGATCTCATCATTTCCATTAAGATATGGCCAATAATTCTTTCCTCCGTAGAAGGTAGCTCTGTGGGTTAATACAGTAACGTGCAATGTGCCCAAATACCCAACACCTGAGTAACACCAGTGTTCTTTATTGCACTTAAATTTTGAACTGCAAATTCTTGATCACAGGGACATGTCTTTTGCATGTTTAAGTACAGGTGGGGCGATCATTTTGGAGCTTAGAGGCTGGGGGCCGCATGGTGGTACTGAGCCTATTACTTACATCCTGCTGAACTGGAGCTAGGACTGTAAATTTTGGTTAAGTCTGAGCTCTGAGCTCGGTTATATGCCTCCGTATACAAACCACTTTCAAATTCACATTCAGAGCCTGCAGAATTCAGAAGTTTGCTTTGCCCCAGAACTCTCCAGGAGGGAATCCGTTCCGCTTGGGCACTGTCCCTGTTTGAGGACTGTGGTCGCAGAGGCCGAGCTGGGGGCTACAGGGTCCAGCCTGGGTCATCCTCTGCCGCCGCCTGGGCCGCCGCTGCCTGCAGGCCAGGGCGAAGCCGGGCTTGGCCGCTGGGAACAGCGCAGAGCGGAGAGGATTCCCAGCACCAGGGCAGCGCCTCCGAACCTGGCCTGAGATCCTGGCCGCGGCTTCCTCCTGGCTCGTTCCTGGGAGACACTTTAAAAGCAGGGCCTTGGTGCCTTTGGATTAGCCGGTTCCGCTTTGGAAACACGAAGGACGCCCCAGACCCAGCGGAGCGAGGCCACTGTCCGCGGCCGGCGGCGGGACGAGGAGAGGCGAGCGACAGGGTGGGGCCCAGCGGGAAGGTCCGGGTGCTGTGAGCGCGTGAGCGGCGGGGAGCCCACGCCCGCGCACCGCTGTGACACCAGGGAAAGCGGTGTCCGTGGGTCCCTGGAAGTTCGAAGGCATCTCCAGGGTCTGAGTCTGCGGGAGGGAAAATGTTGGAGCCGAGGCCCCCCGACGTCCACAGCAGGCCTGGGCTTGGGGAGTCGCCTGGGCCAGCGCCAGCGACCGGGGAGCATTTGACTCAAGGTTGCCCTGGGCCGGATCCTCAGCCAGAGCAACTGTTTTCCCCTCCTCCCTGGGCCCTGGGCGTCTCTGGTCGTCCCCTGGGAGCTTGGGAGCACAGGAAAGGCGCCTCTGGACTTTTCCCTCCTCCCTCTTTTTCCCAAGAAGAACCCAGTGCCTGAAGTGGTTCAGAATGTGAGGAGGATCCCAAGAACTGGGAAGAAAAGTCTCTCCAGGTCCCGTGGGTACCAAACCCAGACCTGCTCTCCCCCAAGCCCTGCCCCTCTGAGGCTCTTCTGGGCTCCTTCCTCCTCTCTGCCTCCCCATCTCCTCTCCCCCTCCTCTCTTTTTCTTTCTCCTCTTTGTTCCTCTTCTTTTCTCCTTCTTCTCCCTCCTTTCATCCTCTCCCCTCCTCTCTCCTCCCCTCCTCTCTTCCTTCTCGTCCTCTTTCTCCTCCTCCTCCCACCTTCCTCATTGACTATCACTGCTTCCTGCACCCAACTGCCTGGCTCTTGATAGCTGCTGTCTATTTAAAATTGAGGTATTTTATACATCATGATTTTGGTAAAAATAGGAACTTCGCTTTTTAAAATTATTAAAATGTTTGATTACTGAGTTTTTTGACACCCGTCTAAATTTTGTGTTCTCACCCTGGTCCTGGGGTGTCAGGAAGGTTAAAAATCTGATCAAAATTTTTCTGATCATAAGCAGTAAGGGGAGGACTCCAACCCAAACTTGCAACGTTGAAAGGGTTGCTCCAGCAAATGGCACAGGCTGGACTATTAAGTGGGGGAGGACGGGAGGCAGAAGGAGTAGGTGCTTTTGCTGTGGAATGAAGGATTGGGTTGGACGCTCTGGGGCTGCATAGGGTCTCCCTGGAAGCTGCACAAGGGCCCAAGGGTGCTTCATGAGCTGGGCTTTCTTAGGTGTTTAAAATCCAACTCAAAGGAAGTGAGACACCTTCTGCAGAAGAGCAGCCGCAGTGGTCTTGCTGGCACCTTCCCCTCCAAAGCGGGCCAGTTTTGCGTGTGTCACCCAGTTAGATTTATGGGCATTTGGGAAGATGATCATCTCCCTCCTGCACCTGTGCCTGGTCCCTTCTCACTCTGGCTGGAGCATCTTCATAAGTCTTCCCAAGACAGCTGTTTGCTGACAGGCCATCCACATCTATGACAGAGGTTTGGGAGACCACGGTGAGGAAGACCTTGCAGGAAGTAGCCTTGTAGGGTTTCTTCCACCAACTCCCAAAGCAAGTCTCCTTGGGAACCCAGGATTGAAGTTCATTTTACTACCAATAAAGCAGCAACATTCACCCTTAAAGGGCTTGGATGACAGTTTCCAAATGTCAACAGGTTCCAGACAACTTGAAGTGTGTTAGGTAAGAGAACAAGACCTGTGCATCTAATAAAAAATACAGAAGGGCCGGGGATTTGGCTCAGTGGTTTCGCTGCCTGCTGCTTAAGCGCAAGGACCTGAGTTCAATCCCCGGTACAAAAAAAAAAAAAAAAAAAAAAG